GGGTTTTAGAGATTCGGATTCAGAGAGCGTTCGAAACACTCAGCTTTTTTTGTCGAATATTACAAGCAATCTTCAATCGAATGGGATGAACTCTGGGAACCCCAGTTCTTGAATCTATATAAATTGTTTACTGTTGGTATCTACCAATATGGATGCTGTGTTAAGTTTGTTATGGATCAATCTTGTTTACATGAGAAATGAATATTAACATTATCTATCAGCTAAAGTAACAAAGACAAAGAATCACGAAATTTAAGGAAAAGCACCTTGTCCTCATTAGCCTGTCATGCTTACTTTTTTGCCGTTTTATTACTTTATTCTGCACTTCATTTTGCTTTCTCAGGCCATGCACGAGATCATAGTGAACCCCCTCAACCCCACCTAAGTTTTTCTGAAAGGACTTAGAATGGATGAAAATTCAAATTCAAGGACCAAATTGAATAAAATTACCAAGTTGAAGACAATTTCAAAGCTGGAAGAATGCCCCCAATCCTGTTCTTTTCTCTCTCTCAAACTTCAGTTATTTTCAAAGCCAACCTAACTACTGAGATTGCAAGCAATTCAAGCAAAACTGACAGGGGAAAGCCTAGTTTTCAGCAAACCAAACTGACATCAACATTTCACCAATGAATGAAAGAATGGAGCAAACTGTATCCATTTCTGTGAAATCACTAAAAAAAATTACAAATCAATGAAAACCTTGGTTTAAAAATTAGAGGGGATTAAAATTGTGTTGTCTCCATGAAAAAAAAAACACAAGCCGACTCGAGTTTATATGAGTTTATATAGTATGTAAAAGAAGGGAGGATGGGAGCTTTACAATGTTGTAATGAGGTACGTTGCGTTGCGTCACGAGGTTGAGTTCCCGCTGAAACCCAAGTTGCTTTTCTTTAACTTCCGCATCTCCATTTCGCGGGTGGTTCGCCCTTCGTTGCTCGAGCCTGAAGGGTATAAACCATATTCACTGGTGGGCTCGCTGTACTCGTTGCTAGCGGCATATTCCTCTGTGCCTGTGCCCAAGGCCATCCTCCTGAACCTTTTCATGTCTTCATTGTACTGGCTTGTATCGTATTCAGAGCTCTCGTAAGAGCTGTAGACACTGCTTTGTCCGGGTTTCATTCCTTCATTGAGATCGGACAATGATGCATCTCCTTCTAAGGCACGGACTACCTGTTCGGTTAAAGTTTTGGTTAGAGTCCACTTGTTTAAAGTACCACGCAGTCAAACGGAAAGTACGGTAACTTCACGTCTCAATACTTAAAAAGGCATTTGAGAGAAATTTGGCTAGACCAGTTACCTAGCTCATCCGAGGTCGACGTCTTGCTGAATGTCGCACGCAAGCAGCAGCACAAGCAACCATGCGAGTCATCTCATTGTGGTTATATTCCTTTTGTAACTTAGGATCAACCAGACTTTCAAAGTTTCCGTCATCCAAAGCTCGAGCGAGCAATGGCCTAGCCTGCAATACCAAATGGGATTTACTTAGAAAAGAAGCTATGGAACTTAATCCAGACTGCCGTACCGGAACTGGTTCAGTGAGTCAGAGAAGAATATTCAGATGAAATTATGTTTGTTTGTGAGTGAATGCACGGACAATCATAGACCAAAATTAATATAACTAACCCACTCCACCAGACTGTCTTCCATGTAAGACGAGCCAACAGGTCTGTGTCCAGTAATCAATTCCAAATGCATGACCCCGAACGAGAAAACATCTGATTTGTCCGTGAGTTTTCCACTTGAAGCATACTCGGGAGCCAAATACCTGAAGAGAGTGAGACTCAAGTAAATCGAAAACAACTAGCAATTTTTTTTAATCATTTATCCAATGTACATAGAAGAAAAGAAAGCAGATGTCTTCTTACCCAAAAGTACCCATCACCCTAGTAGAGACATGAGTGTTGAAATCGGAAGAAAACTTTGCGAGTCCAAAACCCGCAACCTGAAAGCAACATTTTTGTCCATCATCTAAACGACAATAGTGGGTGAAAACTCTCGAATATGCTTGCATTTTGCTTGGATTTCGTTTATGTTTCAAGTGTTAAGAAATTAGAATGAAATCAATACCTTAGCCTCAAACTTGTAATCCAAAAGAATATTAGCCGCCTTAATATCACGATGAATGATCTTAGGATGACCTGAAAACATTGGTAATGGTTAATAATACGACGCTGAAATCCTAAATCCGGAGCAAGCATGCAAGGGAGCAAAAGCATACAATCCTCATGAAGATACGCCAGTCCTTTTGCAGATCCTGTAGCAATTCTCATCCTGGTTGGCCAATCCACGGTAAGTCGCCCCTTTCCTGGAATTAGCATTCTATATTAGATCATTTTACCTGATGAATTGAACATTACTCAGCATCCACCATAACTGAAACAGGCATTATGATCTGCAACTTAAGATTATCTTACCATGCAAGTGAAACTCCAAGGTGTTGGTTGGAACAAACTCATAAACAAGCATTCTTGTCGTCCCGGAGATGCAATATCCTACCAATGACACGAGATGTTTGTGATGAACACGGCTAATAATCTCAACTTCTGCCTGAAACTCTCTCTCCCCTTGTCCACTTCCGGCCTTCAGTTGCTACTTGTTTTCCATTCGGGAGAACTCCACGGTGAACATACCCAAAACCACCTTGCCCAAGAAGGTTTGCATCTGAGAAGCAATCCGTTGCCCTTGCTAATTCTTCATAGGTAAACGTGCTCTTTGAGAAACCTAAGGCAATACCAGGCGAGGGTGGCGGAAGTGGGGTTTCAGAACCTGAATAATTAGATCCAGAACCGCCACTGCTGCTCATGAAAGGCGGGGGTGGTGGAGGCGGCGGCATTTGCTGAGGTTGCCATGCTGTAACTGGTGGAGGAGCGGGCTTTGGAGGTGCTGCGCCGGATTGATTCGCAGGCAGTGGTGGCGGATTTTGTTGCCGCCGATACTGATGTCCACCATATGGATCTTCTGGTGGGGGAAAAAAAGAAAACACTGATTTTAAAACTCGATCAAACTGAGATTTTCAAGTAAAAAACAGTGAGATCTCTATTTTCTGTATGATCCAACCAAAATCGAAGACGCACATGCAAATGCAGTAACAGCAATATATACAAAAAAAAAAAACCAAAATTATTATTCAAATGTCTCATATGGATCAATCTTCAAAACTGTCAATGAAATCCCATTTCTAAAAGGTTCAAATTTCAAAATTTTATGAGATATCAGACCTTTAGGAGCAGGAGGTGGCGGAGGAGGAACGAAGTAAATTTCGTCATCTCTTCTTCTTACAACATATACACAACAAACTCAAAAACAACAATATCGCCACACCCCCTATTGCTATCCCGACCACCATTCCCGTCGTCACCCCACTGCCCGATTCAGAAGGCGGCGCCGGCGGACGAGGTGGAGTCCCCGAACCCCTCGAAGGCGGTGGGCGCGATGGAATTCTCGGAGTAAAAGTAGGAGGAGACGGAGGACGATGATGGTGGCGTAGATGTGGTGGTTGGAGTCGGTGGGTAGGTAGAAGATGATGGAGGAGGAGATGAAGTGGAGGGAGCAGGAGGGGATGGGGTGGTCGAATGCGGAGGAGCTGATAGGGTGGAGGATGGCGGGCGGCGGAGATGTGACAGCGGTTGGCGGCGGAGTAGCGGCGGAAGAAGGCGGAGGAGAAGTGGAATTTGTTGACGGAGGTGATGTCGGGACCGGAGAAGCCCCTGGGGAAGGAGACGATGACATTATTCTCTCTAAAAAAACCCAGAAAAAAATTACAAAGCTCTAAAGAAAACTTGAATCTTTAAGGGTTTCAGTTAGCAAAAAAAATTAAATTTCGGAAGGTTTTTAAGAAACAAGAACAGGGTTCATAGGAAAATGAAGGGATTTGCTTGATATTGTGGCGTTTTGATAAAAAGTAAGTATTACTTGGCAGTTTCTTTTTGTTCAAGGTGATGGGAGATGGCAGCTGCCCCGCCCTTCGCAGCCGTGTGGTTTGTGCTGCGGTTGATTACTTGAAGACCCTTCTGAAAAATTTTACCCAAAGTTTGAACCATTTTTCGTGCTGGAAGCTGCTGTGCTGTACCTTATTGTCTAGTGGTAGCGGTAGTGGAGCACTCAACCCGCCTGAAATTTACCCATTTCGTTAGTAAAAACCAACGCCGGTCGAATTACGTCATAATAAAATTTTAGTTTTATAAATTGAAAATAATATCAATAGAATTTCTTTTTTAATTAAGATTTAAGTTTATTTAAGGGTAAATTATAAATTTCTCACTTAATTTTTTTCTCACTCCTATTTTGACCATTAAAGTTAAATTTATTTCAATTTATTTATCAAATTTTTTATTTATTCTTATTTTGATCATTCAAATATTAAATCATAAATAAAATGGTGACATGATAGTTTCATATGCTGATATGCCTTGTTTTTTATTGATAGTGAATCAACTTGTTATTCATATTATTTTACATTTTGTTTTGATTGTGTTATTCTTTCAAAGATGAAAGTTTTATAGTTTTATCTTTTTGTCATGTTGTCGTTACAATTGTTATTCCTTAACGTCTTCTTCGATTATTAAAGATAACGATGAATTTGTTTCATTGTCTCATACTTCTTAAGTTTATATTTTACTTAAATCATTTTAAAACTCAACCCTAAGCTCAAAACTCGAAAATTCCAAAACCATTATGATTTATAATATTCATCATCTTATCAACGTGAAATCAAAATATATAAGTCAATTTTTCTTGCTCACCTCTTCATCATTAGGATTTGAAAGAAGACGTTTCATCTTTGAGAGATCAAATATAATTTAAGTTATAATTTAAGTTGGGGTTTATAAAAAATGAAAAAATAGAGGGGTTCCATAATTTTTTAAAATAGAAATATACAATCATATTGTCATTAATTATTTAATATAAAAGTGATAATAAATAAATCGAAGTTTAATGAATAAAATAAAAAATTTAAACTTTATTAATCGAAATAAGAGTAAGAAGAAAGTTGAGTGGTGAAGTTTATAATTTACTCATATTTTCATATTCAGAAATAATTTAAATCGTGGATTATTATATTTTGTCAATTCTCCTAGCTTCCGGCATTAGCAAACACCTGTACATCTGTCGTGGTTGTTGAGACGGCGGCGTTATTTGTTCAAATTGATAGATGCATGCTTGTCCTGGGCTATGTAGCGTTTAGAATCGTATCAGTTCTACAGTCACCGGCATCATAATTGGCTCCTTGATTCGAACAATGTTTATACGGAACACGCTTTTCTCAGGTGCCGGGAAAGGCGCTGTTCGTGCTAGAAAGGATAATGAAGGCACAAACAACCGACAGTGAGAACACAGACACCCAGGTGTTTTCTGTGTACATATCCATTGCATCTGTGAACGAGAGGCGTGTACGGTTTTCAGCCCAGTTTCGAATGCGGTCCGCCTCTGCTGCGTATAAGGCCCTACCCTGCATATACACACATTTGCATTCAGTTCTAGAGAAATGGGGAAGAGGGAAAGGATCGAATGTCCGGAGAGTTAAAGCCGGAAACCGAGATTGCAACAACAGACCACGCAGGCTTCGAGAAGCAGCCTGTTCTTGGTGATTCATGACTGTATTTAACTGCAGGATGCCATTTTGTTATAGAGATTGCAACTATGTAACAAATGTTATTTTTTCTGCCAAAGAATCAAAAGTACCTGTTCATCAAACCAGCGACCTTGTCGGAGCCAGGCGGTGACTAAAGCTAGTAATATTCGAGGTGGGGTCAAGTAGTTGATGACCTTCCCAGTCCCCTTTACAACCCGCAATCGTGGAACGAGACTTCTAGCAACAGTTTCAGGAAGCTCACAGATGACATTAAACATTTGCTTGTTCTTTAAGGTCGAACCACTGCAAAAGAGCAAAACAATTATCGAACAATTTGTCGAGTTTTCCAATAGGTACAACCATGTCTCTCGTGTTTACCTTGTCAAATTACACATTCAAATAGATACACAAATAGTTTAGATGAGCTGAGAAGGCCAACATACCTTAAGAGCAGATCAGTTAGGACCATGCCGGGAGATGCAGTATGGATTCCGACTTTAGAACGTCTGCACTCCTTCAGAAGTGATACATGAAGCTGCCTAAGACCACACTTAGTCGAACCGTATCTGGAAGTTTGAGAACATAAAGACGATTAATCATCACTCTGAACTAATATAACAACTTCAGAACATCACAAGATTTTTAATGTTTTGTTGAATGAAAATTCCAAAAGTGTCGTTCCTGCAAGATATTCGCGTCCAACAATAACAGATAATGACAACTTACACAGCAGTCAAAGGAGTGCTAGATCCCCCGGAACCTGCTCCGTCCATGTTAAAAATGTGTCCCACCTTTGGCTGGTTATTCATTATGCGCATAGCTTCCCGAGTGCAGAGAATAGATCCGATAAGATTTGTTGAGACGATCTATGACATGATTAGATGGTCAGAGAAATGCTACTGCCATTATGTTTAACCATACATAACATACAAACCTGTCGAATATCATCATCGCTGAACTGTAGCAGCGGTCTAAAACCTTTGTTAGTGCCAGCATTATTTACCTGTCAATAGAATCCCAAACTAGAATCACAAAGAGTATCATATTTTTCCCACGAGTAAATGTTATACATCAAGATCTCATGAACAGAATTGGAAATGGCCGTTGGGAGAAATTTTCTTTGCAGTTCAAGAATATGCTACGGGTGAGACTATTATCGAGAATACTTCAGATAAGGTCATTCAGCTTGGTCCGAAGTAACCTCATACCAGTCCCCTAAAACATCAACAAACTAACATGACACAGCAGTTCATCTTGTATGAATGTGATTGCTTGGCAAGCAAGATAGAGACGGGGGAACTTACAAACTTCAAGCTTCATACTTACCCAAATGTTAACAGACCCGAGTTCATTCACAGCGAAGTTGGCTAATTTTTCAACATCACTAGGATCACAAACATCACATGCTATGCCGACCACTTTTGCTCGTCCCAGATTCTTACTAAATGAACCACCTGCAGTCATACCTTCCTTGAGGTTTTCCTCAAGTTCTTTGACAGTCACATGAACAGACTCGGGACTGCCTTCGCAAGATCCAGTGAAGATAAGATGTTGTTAGAGCTTTACCGACGAATATTGAATGTAAAGGATAATAAACTAGGAATGATTTCATACTCCACCTGCGAGAAGTAACAACCACGCAATCTCCCGAAAGAAGAAACTCTCGAGCAAGTGCTTTTCCCAATCCCCTTGTGCTACATTAGGCCAATAAAAAACACAAAATCACAATAGAAAACATAAGTTCCCTGCATAAAATTTTGTTTAGAAATCAAACCATCCTGGTAAAACCATATATTGCACCTTCCTGTTATAACAACATTTCTCGGACCGGCTCGACAGTGTTCCTCTAGAACCATATTAGCACCAATCATGGTTCCAATTATAATCCCTCCAAGCCAGCTATACCAAATCAATGCATTCATCTCACTGTCTCCACCTACAGAACCGAACTTCCATAGATGAATAGGCATCTAAACAGGGATGGACCTAGGGTGGCCAGCGGAGCGGTCAACCCCTAAAAAGTTCAAATTCTCGTATAGTTTAGGTGTTTCTATTTTCTATTAATAATATGTAAAAATTCTATAAGTTCGTCCCCAACTATACGACGATGTAAATTCGCTAACCTGACAGCTGAAAACCAGTCAAGAGTATCACTCCAGTGCTCATCATGGTCACTACATATCTTCCTATTTGCATAGATATCTGGTTCATGAGCGAAACAGAAAGGTTCAATTCAAGTTGTAATGAACTTGAATTACATAAAAGGGAGCTAAAAAACAGAGAAATTCAATTAATGAAACACAATTTACAAATATATATATAACTCACCAAAGAGAAAACTCCTTCAACTTTAGCTACAGTTTTTTCATATTCATCTTGAGATTGGGAATCGAATTTACTAACCCCCAAAACAGCAGATTTCAAAGATTTCCAAAACCCATCTCCTGTTTCCAACTTCACTTCATTTTCCATCAAAATCCCAACTTTTCCCGCACTTTCCATCTCTTTCTCTCCCACTGCTCCCCCTCCATAGTCTCCCCTGAATGACCGACACCTTTGAACGTACACCCCATAAGTGTTTCTCGTTATGATGGGCAACCGTAGAAAACGGCACCGTTTAATCCAGCTCCGCGGTTGTTCCTTGAAAGAAAACGGTTGGTCTTTCTGGAAACTACGTAAGTGAAGTTTTGCCAGTGCAGCCATTTTTGGCGGAGATTGAAACTAAAAGGGGAAAAATCGAATCTTTAAACAGTACTTATTCTTCTTCTTCTCCAACTTTATCGGCAAGGAAAGAATTAAAAAGAACCTTCCTTCCGATGATTATTTTCTCCTGTTAAAATTTGCCTTTCGAGGCAGACGAGCGTGATGACCACACGTTGAGCAGAACCTAATCTGCTGTCGTTTAGGTCGACACGTGGCGTTTTGTGTCGCTATTTTCGTTGTCGTGCTGGTTTGAAAGAGGTGACGCTCTTACGCCTTATATTTTCAGGCTTTTATTATATATGGTTGGTCACTCAGATATTATTTAATTTATGTTTCGATCATTCATTGTTAAAATCAATTTATTTTAATCATCTACTGTTAGAAATTAACGTGATATTGATAGTATTTTTATTATTTTTTAATATAATTTTTTTAAACATATTATATTATCGTTAAATTTTTTAACAGATAATTAAAATATAATTTTAAGTATAATTTTAAAAAAATTAGACTAAAAATAATTAGTTTACCCTTTAGGGTGCGTTTGGTTCACGGAATGTAAGATTACCAGTGGGAATAAAAGATTACCAGAGAATAGGATTACTGGGAATGTTGTATTTTGCGTTTGGTTGGTTTAGCAGGAATGTAAGATTACCGTGTTTGGTTAAAGGAATAAAGATTATTGGAATGATATTTGACCAAATGTCCTTATATATATTTGTATAAATACAAATTGTAAAATATTTATGAATTTTATTTAAAAAATTAAATTCATAATATTTATATATTTTTTTACAAAATTAAAAATATAAAAAATGTTTAATGAAAGGTTAAAAAAATTAACCCCTGAACTTCATATAAAATTTTAATTATAGATTTTTTTTGTAAATCTAAAATAATTTAAGGATAAATTTGTAATTTAACTTTCGTATAATTTTTATTATTCAATGACAGAAGAATGATATTTTTGAAAAAAAAATTAAGGGCATTTTAGTCCAAACGCCGTAAGTTACAATACCTAAGGGAATGGAGGTAATGACTTCCTGATAATATACCCCAAAAAATCTACTATTGGTAATAAAACATTACTGGGAATGAGATTTCCGGCCAACCAAACATGGGAATGTGAGATTCTCCCCCATGGGAATCCCACAATCCTTGAACCAAACACCACCTTATTGGTTTAGGATCTTCCTAAGAAAATAATTCATGATTATCTATCTAAGAAAACTAATGATTATAAATAGAGGATCAAAGGGGTTTAATAATACCAGTTGAGAGCTTTGAGACTAATGAAGCAAGTTGAAGGATGTTTTGTAGGAAGGATTCAAATAGATAAACGAGACAGTCGTCCTCTGAAAATTTAAAATTATTATATATTTTAATATTTTTTATGTGCTTTCCATCACACCCAGATATTCTTCCTCATTTTTATTATCTCACTTGAGTCTTTATCGAATTCGGATAGATCGAAACGATGTTCGATTAGGATCTCGATTTTACACGATTTTAAATTCTCATATAATTTATATAACTTTATATATTAGATTGATGATATAACACATTTTTAAAATGTTACAAGTTCGTATCATATAACATAAAATATTATATTCGATCCTCATCGACTTATTAATTATATAATTTTTATATTTAAAATCAATCCAATCCAAGGAAATGTCTATAATGTTGAGTAAAAATATACTGCTGGTTTTAACTTTCAAATATGGAAATTTACAGGTGACAAAAATATGTACCGATGTGGTAGTTTCCAGCATTAACAGGGAAAAGGTGCTAATATTGTCAGATTTGTCCTCTATATTTTGGAATTATTATTTCGGTCAATTACGAGTTCAGTTCTTAAACTGTTAATTTTGGTTTGTTTTGGTACTTAAACTTTTAATTTTTCAAGATCATATTTAAAGTTTAGTTTTTGTTTCATCTTAGTACCGACATTAAAACTTTAGTTCTTGTTTTATTTTGGTATCCCGTTTAAGTTTTAACGTTAAGTTTTGAAAAAAATAAAAGTTTAGGTATTAAAATGGATCAAAATTGATAGTTTATGTACTAAACATGCTAAGCTTTTACCGACTACTACTAAAATGAAAACTAAACGATACATGATTTGAATATCTCTAAACATTAATTAATTAATGTATAAAGTAACTCTTAATCCCTAAACTAAACAAGATTTCTTAATTTGGTACCTGGATTTTGGTTCATATTGGTACTTAAATTTGATTATCTTTCTCAACTTGATACATGAAGTTCTTCTCCGATTCACATTCTTAGAACTTGGTATTTTTATCCAGTTTGATCCTTCAACTTTAATTTCATTAAGGACAAAGAAAAGGACGGAGTAAAGATGAAAGTTTGAGAAGAGTTAACTTTGACTGGCTAGTGGCTATTTTGTCAAATTTTAAAATCGATAAGGATTTAACAAATATTTAAATAAAGAATAAAAATCAAACTTAATTTATCTAATTTTGAATTAATATTAACTTAACACATATTAAATCTAAACAATTAGAGAAATTAAACTTAATTTGTTTTACTTATAAAATTAAGAGGGATCTAAAAATAAATTAGATCCAAAATCTAGAGAGGCAAAGCACCTCCATACACCTATCTTCATCGTTGATTTAGGACTAAAATGTATGATAAATTATAAATTTAAGGACTAATTTGAGAAAAGTATCGAGTTTAAGGATTAAATATTTGAATTATCCCATTAATTAATGATTAAACATTATTGACTTCAAGAAAAAGAAAATTAAAAAAGTCCCTCTTTAATCCAAAATTTCCACATATAAAGACAAAGAAATGGACGAAAACGAACAGCAGAAAAATTCAATGATACAACTCACTAAAAATAATAATATTATTATAAAATCATTTCAACATTCGATTTTATCACCAATATTTAGATATTCACTTCAAATAAAACAAAATTCTCAGTTGGTGGAGATGGAAAATCGATTCAAGCGCCGAATATCTCGCATATTTCGGACCTCGTTTGGCTCCTGCCGGACCCGGAACGTCTCCGACGTCGCTAAAAAAGCTGTTTTCTCACTTAAAAACCACAAGTTCCGGTCGTTAAAGACGTCGTCGCCACCACCTAAGGGTCGGTCCTTACCTTCTTTTTGTAAACCCAGATGCTCTTATCAATCAACCCAAGAAGCAATCAATATCGATTCTAGAATGGCTGCTCCTGGAGAAACTCTCCCACGGCGGCGTAAAGTCTCGGCCAAGGCTCCTCCTGCTTCGCCTATACCGCATTTGCAGCTCTTCTCCGACTGTAAAGACTTTGGTTTCTACGAGAAAAAGAAGAGCTCAGCCACAAACAAGAAGAAGAAGAAGAAGAAAAGAGTTCATGTCAAACGCAATAACACGCCGTTTAATTCCATGTTCTTCGGCTCATCTTCTCACGAAAGTGTTCATTACGGTGGCCGTGGCCGTGGGTGGTGGTGGTGGTTTAGCAGCGAAGACGAAGCCGAGACTCTTTTCTCTTCAAGGACTCTCTCACTCTCGTCATCGGATTCATCATCGGAGTGGCACCAACATCGTGATCACCGGAGAAGAGCTAAGATCGGGAATAAAGTAAAAGACAGCTTCGTGGTGGTGAAAAGTTCCGATGATCCCTACACTGATTTCAGGGCATCGATGGTGGAGATGATCGTCGAGAGAGAGATATTCGAAGCTAAAGAACTGAAACAACTGTTGCAGTGTTTCTTGTCGTTAAACTCTCATCACCATCACAGGACAATCGTCGAGGCTTTTACAGAGATTTGTAAGACGCTGTTCTCTAACTGGTCTTAAAATGCAGAACGACAAACAACTCGACAAGAACAAGAAGCAAACTGTTTCACTTTCTTTGTCTTCTGTTATTATTGCATGTTCTTGAGAAACTTAGTTGCAGTTATAGCTTCTTAGCCTAGGGTTGATCTAACTCTTAAGTAGCGTTGTTAATGAGATAAACTATGATCCATATATGTTATCCACAGTGTTTTTATCTTCTAACATGAATTTTATCGTCTCCACGAAAGATTCATTTTTTGTCTTGAAATTTGAAAACTTTTGCGGCAGCTCTGCTTTTTCTTTTGAAAAGACAGATTTGTTGTTTTGGATTGGTCAATTTACTAAGATATGAATGTTAGACTTTTGTTTTATTTTAATAACAACCTTAAATTTTAAAAAAAATTAGGTATTAAATACGTTAAGTTTTTAACGATGTGATATTAAAATATAAAAAATTAAAAGTTGGGTATGATTTTAAAAAAACTAAAAGTTTAGATACTAAAACAGACCAAGACCAACGAGCGTTGGTTTAAGTGGTAACAAATATCGCTTAAGCAATATCTCGGGTTCGAGTCATTGTGTATGCAGAAAATCCTCATTGGGAGACTCGCCCACCAAAATCAGGTGTGTGACCCAGGTCGGTCCAGATTAGTCAGAGTGAAGCCTTGAAACTGAAGGATAACAAAAAAAAAGACAAAAACCGATAGTTTAAGTATTAAATGTGTAACTAAATGTCTAGTATTATTAAACTTGTTCAAATAAGGATTAAATTTTTTTATGAAGTTCAAATTTTAGATTGGATTGAATTCAAAAAGAAAATTGATATTGAATTAAGATAACTTTTTTTCACAATAAGGATTTAATAAAGTAGCATCCTATAATTAAATGATTATTTTATAATTTTTAATAGTCGGATGATTTAATAAAATATTATATAATCAGATACCATTTATATAATTTATCTTATTTTAAATATTCTGAAATAAAAGAAGAAATTGTTGACGAATTTTTAGACCTTTATTTGAATATATTTGAAAATATGATGTTCTTATTTTATTATTTTAAAATATAAATTTTTTATTCGAAAAAAATTAAAAATATTAGACTCTTATATAAACATATTTAAATATATTATACTGTTATCAACTCTTTTATGCAAATTATATCTTTATTTGAACATATTCAAATTCATTAGACATTTAATTTAGGATGAACCGAAGGAGACGGTAGGACAATCGTTTTTAAAAAAAAATATATATCATTTATTATAGATTTTAATGTATTTTTATTAAATTTTATTTTATTTCCTAAAACACTATAAGTTCATTTTTTTAATTATAAACTATTATAAATTCAAATTCCTTCATTTAATATAAAATCATATATTCGTCCCTATTTTATTTTATCGCGTTGGAAATATAAACCTAAAGCATCAACTTTTGAAATTATAAAGTTAACGGGAAAAGGTTCTGGCATCGATAAATCATTGTGAACCTTTTAGCCGAAGTCTTCCAAGAAGACAACCACTTAATTCAATTTATTTAATGCAAGCAATTCATTCTGTTCTCATTACGTAGATAAAGACACTAGAAGAAACAAACCCATCCCACCATGCTCCCCTATCATTAATCACATGCAAATTTGTTTCTATATTATATAATTTAGGATAAATTATGTATTTAGTTTCTAAATTATTAGTTTCGATTTGTTTTAATATCTAAAAAGTTTAATTTTTATTTTATTTTAGTACTCCAGTTCAAAATTTAACGTTATGTTTTAATTTTTTTTTGAAAGTTTATGTACTAAAACGGACCAAAATTGATAGTTTAGATACTAAATGTGTTAGGCCATCTCCGGCCCTCATCTCTACTCTACAACATCTATATCTCTACTCTAAAGATGAAACAGTAATTCATCTTCAGTACTATCTCTACATATAATAAAAAAACAAAAAATGAGAAGAAGAAAAAATCCTCAACATTCAAATCAGAAAAAAAAAAACAAAAATATGAAGAAGAAAAAAATTGTAGCGCAGCTACAGTGCAACGCCAGTTGTAGCGTGCACTGTAGCCCGACGCCACAATCCAGCATAACAATGGCGATGGGCTGGAGCATAGAATCATCTCAAAAGTGGAGATGAATGCCACTCCAGCGATGCACTGGAGATGGCCTTAATTTTTTAATGGTGAAATACTAAATGAAACAAAAATTAAGCATTATGTGTGTTTTTGAAAATTTAGATACTAAATCAGATCAAAAATGATAGTTTAAATACTAAATGCGTAGTTTACCCTATAATTTAATATGTTTTCAAAAAAAATATTAAACATTTCAAAATTAAAGAATTTTTTTAACAATAATAAATTATTGAATAAAATATTAATTTTTTAAAATATTCTAAAATAATTATAAATGATAATATATATTTAGAAAAAGGGTAAAGTATAGTAATGGTCACTGAACATTTCTGAAGCTTGCATTTAGGTCCCCCAACTTTTAAAACTTGCAATACAGTCCCCCAATATTTATTCCGTTTGCAATATGGTCCCCCAACTTAAACCACCGCTAGAAATTAGGGTAAATTATATAAAAGGTTATTGAACTTTTCAGACACTTGAATTTAGGTCCCCCAACTTTTAAAACTTGCAAAACAGTCCTCAATTTCATTTTAAACCCCAATTTCCAAAGTAATTCAATTTCATTCTAAACCCTAAATTCCAAAATAATTCAATTAAATTCAATTATTTCAGATTTATTATTATTTAATTTCATCTATTTCATGTGATACGTATTTTTATAAATATAACAGTATTCTTATCTGTTGAAGAAATTTTTTAATTAAAAAAAGTAGTTAGGATAGAAGAGGTTGAAAATAATTCGAATTTTAAATAAAATGTTATTTTGACGTATAAATAAAAGTGTAAACTACTAGGTTGACAACTTAACTATCTAGCCCTTTTTACTTTTGTCATCGATCTTTTAAATTTATCAATCATATAACATAATTATTTAACTGTTTCAACTAAGCCACTAGTCATTACCAATTGATACAAATGATAAAGTGGCAGTTAAAAGGAATTGACATTATTATACATTCAGTCTTTATTATTTATATAATCAATTTGGTTCTAAATTAAATAGAATTTAATAAATTAATCATTTAATTAGGATCTGACATGTGTTAGCACATGATCATGACACGTGTCATTGGTGACACATGTCACCACCTAATATTATATATGCTATCAATTTGGTCCTAAATTAAATAAATTTAATAAATTAATCATTTAACCAGGATCTGACATGTGTTAACACATGATCATTATATATGTTATTAGTGACACATGTCACCACCTAATTAGAAGAAAATTAAGTTACAAAGAAGTAAAATTTGGGTATTGGGCAAACTCAAACTTGAGTCACGCAAATGAAAGATACAAGGTGGAGCCACTAAGCTAACACCATCGTTTGTGTTAAGAGATATATAATAATACATATACTAATAGTATGACCAATGCCAGAAAAAAAAGAATATAATGAAAAATGGAAATAATGAGATTTTAACTTCGGCAAAAAATTTGAAAGCAATAAATGATGGGAAATTATTATATTTTTTTACAATAAAAAATATTATATTTGATAAATTGTTTGATAGATTTAATATATTTTTTAAATATTAGTTGATACAATATTTAAAAGAAAAATTTAAGATTTATATATTTTTAAACTAAATTAATAATTATATTTTCATATTTATAATTCATGATTATATATATAATCTTAAGTTGAGTATTTCTAATATAATTAATAATTTTAATTTCTATTAAAAATAAAATATTCAAAAAATATGAATGATTCATACATTAATATATGAATATTTTTTTATTTATACATCTAAATATAAATATACTTTAATAAATATTTTTATTCGTATATTGAAATATTTTGATTAAATATAAACATATTTTAAATACTAGTTTATACAAGAAAAATAAAATATCAAAAATAAATGATTCATACATTTAATATAAATTGAATCATTTATATTTTCTATACATCTATATTTAATAAGAAAATAAAATTATTGGGGATTGTTTTACAAGTTTTAAAGTTGGGGACCTAAATTCAAGTGCCTAAAAAGTTAATGACCGTTTATATAATTTACCTTAATTTTCTAACAGTGATTTAAGTTGGGGACCATATTACAAACGGAATAAATGTTGGGGGACTGTATTGCAAGTTTTAAAAATTGGAGGACCTAAATGCAAGCTTCATAAATATTCAGTGACCATTACTATACTTTACCCTTAAAAAATCATCTCTATCTTGTTTCCACACATGAAGGACTTGTGTATTTGGACTTGGATGTGCACTTCAACTTTTGGTCTTTTATTTTCGTCCATTGGGCTTGAAAGCTATGTAAAATTGCGTAAGAGCCGGGAAAATATCTTTGGCAGATCTGAAAGTAGAATAATTCATTATATTTTACCATTTGGAATTAACTGTACAGTTTAATTTAAAATTTATTTTTTATTTCTTAAAATAAAAAAATAACCCATGTTAATTTCATTATCATCGACATATTTTTTTTATTAATCTAAGGATAGTTATAAAATGATATATGTTCGAAAGACTGTGGTCTCATGTTTGACTTGAATGGGTAATTTGTTGCCTTTGCTTGGAAACATAGAATGGGGAGTGGTTGCTTTCTCATTGTAATAGTTGGTTGAATCTTGGGGTCGTCCTCGTTAGGAATGGCAATGGGTCGGGTTCGGGGTGGGTTTTGCTCGCCCCGTCCTCGAACCCGAAATGAATCCCCATCCCCGACCCCGACCTGATCCCCGTCGGGTTTTTTATCGGGGCGTCCCGTGGGAGATTTTTTTGTCCCGTCCTCGAACCCGACCCGAAATATTATACTCAAACCCAAATCGAACCCGAAAATATTATATATATAATTAATATAAAATATATAAAATATAAAATATATAATTAATATAATATATATATATATATATATATAATCGGGGTGGGTCGGGGATACCTTTCCCCGTCCCCGAACCCAACCCAAAAAAATCCCCGATACCCGACCCGACTCGAACTTGATCGGGT